GGATGTAATCCAAGCTCCTTTGCCTTATGGAATATCATATTCCATGCCCTATGGTCTTTAAATGTAGAAACTGCAAGGTCCCGTGTAATCCTGACTGTGGTTCTATGATATTTAAATTGTTTCTTTCTGACTGCTTGCAGTATTTTCTTTTTGACCTGGTAATTTTGGAACTTGGCTACTATATTCCTTGGCGTTTTCAACTTGGAATCTCTTTCAGGAGGTGATTGATGGATTCTTTCTATGGTTATTTTACCCTCTGGTTCTAGGACCTCAGGGTAGTTTTCCTTGATGATTTACTGAGAGATACTGTCCAGGCTCTTTTTTTCATTGTGATTTTCAGGTAGATCAATAAATTTTAAATTGTCTCTTCTGGATTGATTTTCCAAGTCAGTTGTTTTACCAATGAGATATTTTACGTTTTCATCTATTTTTTCATTCTTTTGTTTTTGTTTGACTGATTCTTGCTCTCTCATAGAGTCAGTCCTTAGCTTCCATTTGCCCAATTCTAATTTTTAACAAATTGTTTTCTTCTATTAGATTTTGTACCTACTTCCCCATTTAGCCAATTGTATTTTTTAGGGACTTGTTTTCTTCAGTGTACTTTTTTTCCAATTGGCCAATTGTATTTTTTAAGGACTTGTTTTCTGCAGTTAATTTTTGTCCTTCCTTTTCCAGTTGTTGACTCTCTCTTGCATACCTCTCATTTCTTTTCCCATTTTTTCTTCTACCTCTCTCATTTGCCTTTAAAATTCTCCTTGAGCTCTTCTAAAAAGGCTTTTTGGGCTTCAGACCAGTTCATATTCCTTTTTGAGGTTTCATATGTGGGTTTGTTGATAATGTTGTCCTCTTCAGAATTTCTGCCTTGATCTTCACTCTTCCCATAATAAGAATCTATCATTCGTTTCTTTTTGCTCACAGTGTTTGCTTATTTCCTGGCCTTTAAAGAGATTGAACTCTCTTGCTGGGGAGCAGAGGGCACTGACCCAAGCTTCTTGTGTTGGGAGCCTAGGGCCTGGTCACTGGCTTTGTGTGCTTGGGCCTCCAGTGCTGGCAGTTGGAGGCTGTAGGATTCTGACAGCTTACCTGGTGTTGGGCTGGAATCAGCAACACTGGAACTCTAGGGGCGGGATTGGGTAGTCTGGCTCCTGGAGGTTGCATGCTTCTCCTTTCTTTTCACTTTCTTCAGCTCCTTTCAGATGGATGTTGCAGGATGTTTATCCGCCTGGGGTCCCTTGGAGCATTTCACAGAGTTTTGCTGAGGTACAGGGAGACTGCTGTAGAATGCCGAGGCACCTGGTGGTTTTCTGAGCTGGTTTCCACTGGTTCCCCTGCCCTCACTAATGCACTTGGGGGTCCAGGTGTTGGTGTTTGCCTGCTCCACCACTTCGGCTTCAAGATCTCCTGGTATGCTGAGGTAGGGCTTTCCACTAGATTGCTGGAATGCCTACCATTCTGTACTGTTTCCCTTCCCCCAGGGCAAGAGGGGTCTTTCCCATTAATCCCTCAAGCTACCTGGGCTACTGGACTGCTGCACCCCATCTTTCTTTTGGTTCAGCTGTTCCAGGGTTTTTCCTGGGATGATATTTTCTGGCCTTTCAGAGGTTAATAAGGGAGGGTAAGAGCGACTCACCTCTTATTCTGCCATCTTGGCTCCTGGATGAATCAAAGTTTTCCAAGTAATTTCTCCAAATATTACTCATTATAAACACTTTTGAGATATTTTAAATATGTGAAATGGAGCAAAACAAATACTTCACCAAATAATATTTTCCTTGGAGGGCGGGTGTGTATGTTCTCAATTTCTGAGATTAAAAAGCCCTGCTCTGACCAATAGAGAAAGCTAGAATTGTTTGCTTTGGGAATGTGAGGATGGACAGTTCCAAATTTCTGTCTCCCAGAGAAATGAACTCATACCCCTGGGTGGACAGATTGGGGAGGGCAGTGATCAGTTTTCTTTCATTTTAAGTTAAAGTCCCTTTGGAAGCAGCACAGTCGACCTCTTGAATCCCAAACCTTTAGCTTACTCCTTACTACTGCTCACTACTGACTCTTTGCACCAAGCTCAGACTTCCTGGCTTTCAGACCTTCACCTCATTTCCGGTGTCTAGGTTCTGAATCCTTATTCCTAGATCCTGGCAGTAATAATCCTTAACTAACCATGCCCAAGCATGATAGGTCATTGAAGAAAACTAATACTTACACCCTTAGTGTCAGTCTTCCTCCCTATCCCCACCCCCAGTGTTTTCCCATGCACTTAAAAGTTAACACAACACAGAAAAAGGAGCATTGGGCAGACAGTCAAAAGACCTGATTTAAGCCTTTATTATGTCTCTTTCAAACTGTGTGACCTTGGACAAATCACTTAATGTCTCTGGGCCTAAGTGAGTTGGATTGAGGTCTCTTCCACTTGAGTTCTTTGCTAAAATCCTGCTCTGGAGCTTCTTTTGTTAACTCTGCTTCCTAAACTCTCAATTCCTTCAAAACTCAGCTCAAGTATCATTTTCTACATGAATCCTTTCCTGATTCCTCCATCTGTTTTTGCTCATCCCTCGCAAGTTACCTCATTTATTTTTTACATAATTTTGTTTGTGTAGTCTCGCCAAACAGTATGTAAACTCCTTGAGGGCAGGAAACATTTTCTTTTATCATTGTTTCCCTAGTACCTAGGGAAGTTTCAGAGCATAATGACAAGTGAGCTGGCCTCCAAGCCAGGTACAGCTGGGTTCAGGTCTCTTCTTTGATATATACTTGCCATATGACCATGGGCGAGTCATCTAACCTCCCAGTGCTCCAGGCTACTCTATGAATTATAAAGAAGGTGCTGATTTTCATTGCTGAAGGGAATTTCCTCACCTCAGAATTCCCCTATATCGGTAAAATCATAGTTTCCATCCAGTCCCAGTCCCTTCCACCTAGCACTGGTTTCTTGAAACTGAGGCCACCAGCAACTCAACTGCAAGCTCTGGTAAATCCAACCCAAGACAAGAAACAGATTGCACATCTAGTTGAAGGAGTACCCTAGTCATGATCAAGAAGGTTCATCCCCAGTCTGTTGATGACTAGGTGATGATTTTTTTTTTCTTTTTGGCCACAGTAATTCATAAAACAATTTACTAATGTATGGGAGGTTGTGAACTGTTCTATAGAAAGGAGTACCCAGATATATGAACTCTTTGAAGTATTGGAGTTGAAGCCAGTTTAAAAGTCTTGTGATTATGTTTATCTATAGGTAGTAATTATGGTGTCAACCCCTACAAACTTTTGTCAGTTCTTCCACAGTGCCCTCTGCATCCTGTATATTTTGTGAGATAATCAGATTTGGAGTCGGGGGTAGAGTGGCATTCATATTGGGGGGTTATGAAAGAGACTTAATTCTCTAAGAATTTTTTTGTTTTCATTTTAGACCCATGTGGGGTTATACCCATGAAATTGAGCTCTGGCCCAAATGCCAGGACCTGAAAGAAACCTTGGAGGTCTTAATGAAAATCAGATAGTACCTCAAAGAAACTAAACTCACTCTGCCCCTCCTTTTGGCTTGGATTTCAAGAAATGTGTGTATATGGGAGAGATATTGTTATTTGCTCCAGGCAGAACCCTGTGTTCCCAAGGCCTTTTGTATAGCCAACAGGAGAACAAATCCCTTGACTCAAAGGGATCTTACTTTACAAGCAAGATACACAAGCATCATAAGTAAAATACACACCCTGATATTTAAGCTCAAAAATATTTTAAAACTGTGCCTCCTGACATTATCATCATTAACAAATATATATTGAGCATCTGCTCTGGAGGAAGCCCCATGGGTTCCAGGGCTCAAGACAATTCCTGCCTTCAAGAGCTTGCCATCTAGACAGATTAGAACTAGACTGGACTTATAGGATGGTAAAGCTGTAAGGCTTTAGGGATCACTTAGTCCAGATGCTTCATTTTACAGATAATGAAACAGAAGCCCAGGGAGGTTAAGTAATTCATCATCACCACCACCATCCCCTCCCTGCAAGGTGCCACAATAGAGCTGGAACTAGATCTCAGGTGTCTGACACCCAGTAAAGTTACCTTCCTACTGTATGCTGATGCCTCCATATGCAGGTAGAAATAACTTTGAATGCTCTGTGAATATGTAATTTAGGATCATATGATCATAGACATCTCCAGAAAGGACCTCAGAGGTTATCTAATCCAACCTCTTTTATTTTATGGATGAGAAAACTGAAGCTCGGAGAAGACTGTCATTTTCTTGAGCTCATACAGGAAGTACATAGGATCCAAGGGTCCAGGACTCAAACCCAGGTCCTCTCACTCCAGAGCCAGTGATCTTTCTCCCATCCCATACTCCTTCCAAAGTCATCTACAGAAGGAAACCCACCCTTTTACTGCAGATGGCTGTCACTGATGCTTTATTAACTCACTGTTAGCTGCTGGCCCCTTTTATTCCTTTCTCCTAATCTTACAGTTCTTACTCATGAGTATTTGTGCTATGTTCCACTGTCCATCATGACACAAGCATGTGGAATGACCTCTTTCTTCAGCCCAGGGCTTTATTACTAGGAAACCAAGTTACTGTAATCAGATAATGTTACATCAAATGGTGTAGGACATACACAGAGCATGACTTGCAGCTGAGACAACCTCTCTATTTAGTGTCGAGGACTTCTCTCAAAATACGTGCAGCTGTAAAGCCTACAGACAGTCCTCAAAATGCTTCTAGTTTTAAATTGGCTATTCAGAGTTGTTCATGAAGGAGACAGACAAGTACCCTAGAAAAAAATAATAGATTCAGAATCAGAAGACCTGGGTTTGAGTCCTGACACTGCCACTGGTTGCCTGTGATCTGGGGCAAGTCACGTCACTTCCTGGGAGTTCAGTTTCCTTTTCTGTAAAATGAGAATCATGCTTGTACTCTCTACCTACAGGGTTGTTAAAAAGAAAGTGTTTCATAAACTTCAAGTGCTGAGTTGAGTTATTATTAATTCAACATTGGATCTCTTACCTTTCTTTAGCTTCTGGCCACCCTCACTGCTTCTTCTGCCACCTTGAACTTGGCTCTGACCGGGAAGTGCCTTCCAGATTTGCCCGCCACGTAAATGTTGAGTTCAACATGCCAACCACCTCTGCCTCCAAAGCCGCTGTCAGATCCATCTCTGTGGAAGACAAGACTGATGTCAGGAAATGGGTCAACTATTCTGCACACTACAGCTACAAGGTAGCATTAATTTGGGGTTGATGAACATTCCTAGAAGCTTTTGTCTATTTCCTCACCATCACTCTTTCACAAGAGTCTTACCTAGTTCAAGGCCTCATCATGGAGTGGTAGAGTCGACCCTAACGTCTTATCAAGCTGAAAATGTTTTGAGTATGGAACCAATAATAATCTGTGGGTCTGACTTCTGAGGATACCTCCCCTGGATAGGAGCTTCCTAATTGGTCTCCCTGCCTCAAATTTCTCTCCAGTTTAATCTAGCCTCCAAATAACTTCCAAAATGATTTTCTTCAAGTGCTGATCTGATCATTTCATTCCCCTACTTAATAAATTCCAGAGGCTTCCTATTGCCTTTAGAATCAAATACAAACTCCTTTATTTGTCTTTTTAAAGCCTTTTACAATCCACCTTCCCAACTGTATTATATATTACTCTCCTCCCTGCTCTCTACAATTCAGCCCAACTTCTCCTTCTGTTCCTTCTACAAAACAGTATCTCCCATCTCCATGCTTCTGCAATGGTTATCTCCCATTCTTGAAACTTTCTCCCTTGTTACCTGCACCTGTTAGAATCTCTTCTTTCCTTCAAAAACTCAGCTCAAGTATGACTTTCTGTGTGAAGCCTTTCCTAATTCCTCTATCTGCTATTGCCCACCCCACACCCTAAAAAATTACCTCATATTTATTTTGTATATAAGCATACTTAATATACAAGTATATAATCTTATATGTATGTGTGTAGATATACATATATATTTTATATGTGTATATTATGCATGTGTATATGTTTATTTGTTTATATGCATGTTGTCTGGCCTGATAGAAGGGTTAGAATGTAAACTCTTTGAGGGTGGGGCTGTTTCACGGTGAATAGAGAATGGGCCTCAAAACCAGGAACACCTATAGACAAGTCACTTAACTTCTCAGTGCTACTCTGTGGCTATAGGTTGCAAAGAAAGTGCTGACCTGCATCGGTGGAAGGAGTTTTCTCTCCCAGAACTTCCCTAAATGAGTGATGTCATGGGTCCAATTTAGTCTCTGTCACAAGCCAGTCCCAGACCAGTCCCTTTCACTAGCACCTGTCCAGTCACAGGGCAGTCCCAGTCACCAATGCCTAACAGAGTACCTGGCACATAGTAGACACTCAAATGCTTCTGATTGATTAAGTGATTGGCTAGTCATGCTAAGTTAACAAGGGCTTATCATCCAACGTTTAGCTTCAGGGTAGTGAATTTTTTTGGCTATAATAAACTCACTTAGTGAGTATTAAGGAGTAAAGTCTTTTGCCTGTCTCTGTCAGTGATGGGACTTACCCAAACCAATGAAAGCAACGATGTTGAAATTGCAGGAATGTTTTCCCCAGCCTATATCTCTTCATCTTCTTCCTTGATACAAATGACAGATGGAGAAATCTGCTTTCATGCTGAAAGGGTAGCTTAACATGGAATAGAACAGAAAAAATAACTGAAAATGACAGATTGAATTAAAAAAAAGGCAGAGGGGGATTAAAAGCTTCTCTATATTTTGTATCCACAGTACCTACCACATATTAGTTTCTCTACAAATTCTTTTTCAGTTATCTCACCCATTCATGTTTACTTTTGCCTTCCCACCATTACCAAAGAAGAGAGAATAGAAGTATGGTGGAGGAAATATTTGAGATTTCTGATGTAATTTGTGCAGCAGGGAAGGGGAACCCAAATCAAAAATTGTTGCTGTAGGGGTGGTTTGTGTGAATCTGAGAGTAAAGGTAGGAAATGCTCAGTCTGCCCCCTTTGACTTGCCACCACTAACAAAAACAAAAGTGAATGGTTAAAGAAATTTCTTGTATAGCAGCAAAGCCATGAAGAGAGAGAATAACCTTATTTGTAGCCTTCTGATATACATACAAATCTTCCTGGCTAGGACAGTTCTTTACTGACAGATTGGGTATCAGATAGTAAGAGTAATTTCCAAAAGGGAAGAGGAAGTGTTAATTCATGGAGTACAAGGCACAGTAATTGTAACTCTTCCTTACCTTCGTAGGGTACTTTTTTACCTAAGTGCTTTCATATTATCTCATGTATCTGATGCCAAATTCCCTAGCCACCAGAAAGAACAAGGGCTCCCTCTTGTGGGATGTTTTTTTCAGCCCTAAAACTCACAAAAATCTCTCCATGTATCAGCTGGTCCATCTGTATTTTATTTTTTTTGTCCTGAAACCTGAGTATCATGAAATACCAAGGATGTTCATTAAAATTCCACTATATTCAAGACCTACTCTAGTGACCTCATCTTGAAATTGAGGTGTCTCTGAGGTCTCTAAGGCTCTGCTGGCAGAGTATGAAGTCTGCTATGTCCTACCAAGCCAGAAAGGCTTCAAGAACAGGCCAAACAATTGGCAAATGTGAATGTGTCATCTAGGGACCAGCCACATGGTGTTCCGAGACTCATCACCAGAAGGTTGGTCAAAGGCAATGAGTATTTTCATCTTCAGAAAAGCATGATTATCTAATACTAAGAGGTATATCCACCCCAATGAAATCACATCCTTGGAGCTGCTATAAAGAACAGCCTTATGATGACATCCTAGTATTGTAAACCTTATACCACTTGACTTAACAAAAGTTCTCACTACATCTTTGTCTCTTTCACAATATGACTTCCTCATCACTTTTACAATACAAGTATAAAGCTTCAGGATTTTGTAGGAAATGTAGGCAAAGGCACCATATATACCTTACAATTCAGAAGTTGTTTGATTTTTTAAAAAGGCAAAGAAAGGGCTTGAGATAAAACAATAAAATATTACCAAATGGGTCCAAAATGTTTTATTTTTTCAATCAGGCCTTAATATTTTCATTTTAAATAGGCTTTAGATTGAGGCTCTTTACAAAGGAAGGATCTTTATAAGACCACCAGAACAACTGACCTTACGGGGGTGGGATTCTTTTAAATGTAACTTCCCGGGGGAAAAAGAGGCTCATGATAGTCAGTTGACCTGTAATCAGAATGGTCCGATGAAAGTGAATTTTATGCCTGCTTTTGACATTGGATTCTCCCTTTCTTTTTCTTGAGAGAAGGCATTCTGATAGCTTTAAAAGTATGCTATTCTCAAATACTGAAGTTCAGATTTGCCCACCCCTTAAACATTCAGTTTCATGTGGCCACAAACTCTTCTACAGCCTCTGACCTTGATGAGTTTACAATCTAATTAGATCAGAACTTCTTATTAAGAATTACAGAATTTTGAAATTAGAAAGAACCTTAGCGATCATCCAAGCCAGCACCTTCATTTTACAGAAGAGGAAGCTGAGACTCAGAGAAGTTATGTGACTTCCTCGAGGTTACATAGTAGTAAGTAACAGAATCAAGAACACTGGGGTTCTCTCAACTCTGAGAAAATCTTCCTTCTCTTCTGTGCCATGGAAAAGAAGAATAACCTCATATCTTTTGTAGGAGAAAAATTTCATTATAGAAATTTAAGTTCCTCCCCCCCCATCACCACTTTTTTAAAAGGAGAAAAATTAAGCTATATCTGTCAAATAGTGGTTAATTTTCAAGCAAATATTTCAGAAAAGTCTCTCCTTTACAAATAAACATCTAAAAATATGGAGGCTAGGTGATATATTGATGCTGAGGCTTGCTCCTTATTAACTAGATAAAGAGATAGAAACTGTCTAAGAAATAGCAAAAGGGACCATAATGATTTCTTTAAGGTCCTCCTACCCAGTCTTGATCTGAAAAGCACAGATTCAGTGGAGTTGGAGTTTTATTTTGATTCCCTTTTTATAGTCTTTTAGCTTTTGATCAAGGCTTACTAATTGTACTTGTGGCTTTGATGTTAAAAATATGTCCTTAAAGTTGTGTTTTTTATCCCTTGCACTAGATTTGTAATAATAAAAACCTTTCATTTGTATAAGACTTAGCATTTTAGAAAGCACCTTCTCATACATTATCTCATTTGAGCATCACAACAATATTATAAGAATCAAGTGGGCTTGAGGAAGTATTATTGTACCTAATTTACAGATGAGGAAACAGGCTCAAAAAAATTAACCATCTTGCCCAAGTTTACCCAGTCAGTAATAGTCAGAAACAGGGTTTAAATCTAGGTCTTCTGATACTAAGTCCAGTGCTCCCATTTCTGTGTGCTTTGCAAAACACTAGAATGACTAACGCTATGTAAGAAAAATGTTAGTAATGGTTGTCTTCAATGGGCTATCATGCTTGAGTATGATCAATTGGAGGTAATGATTGCCAAGATCTAGGAATAAGGATCAATAATTGGAGCCTAGGGGGAAAAAATTGAAGATCTTAGGGCCAGGAATTTAGAAAAGGACCCATGGAGTTGTTGGGTGACAATGGTGGATAGGAAGCCAAAGGTCTGGGGTCTAAGAGGTCAACCATGTTGGAAATTATAATAATGGTAACTAACATTTACATAGCACCTACTATGTGCCAGGCACTGTGCTAAGTGCTTTACAAGTATTATATCATTTGATCCTCACAACCACCCTGGGAGGTAGGTGCTATTATTATCCCCATTTTAAGGACACTAAGGCAAACATAGGTTAAGTGATTTGCTCAGAGTCACACAGCTAGTGTCTGAGACTGAATATGAACTCAGGTCTTCCTGACTTCAGGCTCAGCACTCTAACCACTGCATCATCCCCTAGCTCCTTCTTTTCATGTTTGTCTCATAACAAGGTTATGGAAATCAAGAAAAAGGGTCTAGATTTCAAGAGGTTTCCAGAGAAGAGTTGTAGCACCAATAATCAAAGACAAAGAAATAAATATGCTCCTTCACGGTTCAGGGGAAAGAAGATTGGATTTGGAATAAGAAAGCCAACTTATCATAGTTTTAAGTCCCAATTTATTAGTTAAGCCACTTACTAGTTGTGTGACCTTAGGCAAATGACCTATCCTCTTTGGGCCTCCATTTTCTCATTTGTAAAAAATGAGGATGATAATATTTACACCTCTTATTTCACAGGATTATTGTGAGGAACAAATGAGAGAATGCATGTTAACCCCCCATAAATGGAGATCTTCATGTGGAGGTTAGGTAACCACTTTGGGGTGTGTTCTAGAAGGGATTCCTGTAAAGATACAGGTCAGCTAGAATATGTTGCTTTGTAATAGCCAAAAATGATGTACATATGAGTTGTTGTTATGGAGAAAATAGGGAAAAAACCATTTGCCCTTTGCCCCCCCCAATTATGCTTCTGCCTGGGTATTGAAGCCCTGAGTCTGTATTAAGGAACTATGATGGTATTCAATAAACTGTAATCCTGGTTGAGGCAGAGATAAGCAGGTTTGAGCTATAGAGATGTTTTAACACTGACAACTACAGGAAGCAATGTGATAGTAAAAAGAGGAATGAATTTGTGATAAGAGAATCTGGGTTCAAATCCTAGGTCTTCCATTTTCTGCCCATGTGGCCTTGGATAATTCATTTAACTTCTCTGGGCTTCAGTTCCCTCATCTTCTAAAATAGGGAAGGAAATTTTCAACTAGATCACCTCTAAGCTCCCTCTCAAATCTGTAATTCTGTGATTTCCCCTTCATCCCCCCTCCACTCCCATTTAGATTTATTGACTGGGTTAGACTATGCCCAAAGAACAATAGTAGGGGCCTGGTGGTCCCTGGGATGATCTGGGAAAGGAGCTGGGGTATAGCAATACCCCCACTCTCTATAAACTGCCTACCTAGTGTTCTCATCATTGGATTTAATCTTCGTCTAACCTTACTCATTGGAGAAGATACTGGGGACAACAGCAAATCATATGATCACAGATTTAGTCAATCAGTCAGTCAGTTAACAAGCATTTGTTAAGCATTTACTATTTGCCAGGAAGAGATACAAAGAAGACCATGGTGGGGAGTGGTCCCTGACCTAAAGGAACTCATACAACACATAAACTGTGTACATAGAAGATACATGCAATATAAATGTGAGGTAATCTCAGAGGGAACACACTAACAGTGGAAGGGGGAAACAGAAGGAAGAGAGACTAGGAAAAGCCTCTTGAAGATGATATTTGAGCCCAAGTCTTCTGGGAAGCCAGGAGTCGGAGGTGAGGAGAGAAAGCATTCCAAGAATGAGGGACAGCCAGTGAAAAAGCTCAGAGTTGAAAGAGAGAGTATCAGTTTCATTCTATGTGTGTGAAATACTGCTTGTATCAACCTAGGGGACCTTGAGAATAAAAAAAAAACCTCTTTTTTGATACTTCAGAATAGATACATAAGCACTCCTTTGCCCACATTTCACCAGAACATTAGGAACAGCAAGAAAGCCCATATGGCTGGATCATTGAATGTGTAGAAGGGAATAAAGCAGGAAAAGATAAAAAGATTTTTTTTAAAATGCCAAATTGTGAAGGCCTGCAAGAGAGAGGTGGCTATGTGAGTAGACAGAGGAGGAAATAGAAAAGAGGTATTGTGAAGGTAGAAAGGACAAGACACCATAACAGGATTAAAGGGAATTTAGCCTAGCCTAAAACTCCCTCATTTTACAAATGAGAAAATTGAGGCCCAAAGTCATATAGGTTATGACAAGCAGGATTTGAACCGAGGTCCAAATCCAACACCCTTTCCATTATACCATAACCACCTCAATTAGAGTTTAAAGAGATTTTTTTTTCTTTTGCTTTTATTATATTCTTTCCTATTTAATTTACTTATTTTCTTGGCAGGTGGAAATTGAACAGAAACAGAATTTGAAATCGGACTTTGAGGGCGACAGAATTGAAAATCCCAAGGAGTGTGGGGTACAGTGAACAAGACATGTTGCACCGAAGCAATGATGGTTTCTCATCCTGCCTAATAGAAGTACAAGTCAGTACTTTACCACAACCACTCATCAATGTGGCAGTGTCTTGGAATTTCCTGCTCACAACCTCCTGGATTTAGACAGGAAACTGAATGGTGGTTGGTTTGGCAAGGCTGGTTGGCTTTAGATTATGCATTGAACATGTAGTTCAATTGACTTTGGGGCTAACTGTCCAATTAAGCCTGCCTATCTCTCTGACTTTTCTCTGCTTGCCTTTCGGAAGTGATGTGTGGTATGTAGACTGCTTTAGACATAACTCCGTCCATCTCAGAGTTGGAATATTTCCCCATGATACGTATTCTTCCATCACTTGTGTGAGTTTCCTTAAAAAAAAAAAAAGACATGTGTATGTGTTGGGGAATTGGGTGGGGACACAGTTCCTGAGGGGATAAATTCACCAAGTATTAATCTCTCCATCTCTTAAGTTCAGAAGAGATGTAAAACCAATATGGCTTCCTTTCTATCTGGACCCCTTTGATGTGCCTCTTCACACTTTAAATCTGAACACTAAGCAACACAAGATTTCAAAAGCATTTTTAGTCTTCACTTTAGAAACACTTTCTTTATCCTTCTAAGATTTCAGTTCCATAAACTTTCCCTTACAAGGTTATTCACACTAGGTCATGGTAGGAATTAGAGACAAAGGCCCAAGAGAGTACCTTTTTTAAAGATTAGATCAGCAGTCCTGTGCCAGGGAATCATTTGAAAGAAAAGAAAGTTTATTTGAATAAAGTCTTTTTCAGCCCAGGGCATTAGTCACCAGTTTATATTCAAGTCATGAGAGGAACACTTTCATTCTGTATGTGAAGTAAATACTGTTTGTATTTAGGAGAACCTTAAAAATAAAAATGACAAAAATCTTTATTTATACTTCAGAGTAGATACACAGGTACTCCTTAACACCTACATTTCACTTGAAAATAATTTTTTAAAAATAATTTTAGAACATATTTTTAAAATTTTGCTTATATGGACTTGCCCAAAGTATCAGTAACATGATGAAGTTGTTATTTGTTCTTTTTTACAAATCTAATAGTAGCACAGACCTCAGTCTTGTAGAGGGAAGGAATGTTTTTGTTTTTGAATATAGAATCCTGGTTCTGAGGACATTGCATTTGGGACGCTAAATTTTCTTTGCACTTCCCTTACCCTTAGCCACATTTGGTGCCATCTCCTCCACCTCCCCCCATCTAGCATAATTTTGCCTGTCAAAAGCATAATTGGCTTTCCCTTCCTCTCGGCTGAGGGGGGTTGCTCCTTCTTGGTCTTCTCATCTGCAACATCCTTCTAATGAAAAACACACACTACCTTTTAGCAAGTGCGCAGATGGCACAAAACTGTTAGGGATAGGTAGAACACTGGACAAATCAAACCAGACTTTTTAAAAATTGATGGGCTTCAAAAATGAGGTTAAATTAACTAAATAAATATAAAACCCCATGCTTTCAAAAAAAAATCACACAAGAAGAGAAAAAAATATAGCTAACCTAATAGCAATAAGGAAAAAAAAATTGTTGGAGGAAAAAAAAAATATGTGGATTTAGTTCATTGTAAGGTCAGTATGAGCCAACAGTGTGTCATACTGCTTTAAAAAGCTAATACAATCTTAGACTATATTAATAGAGAATATACTGCTCAGAAAAGGCAGGGATAAACCCCACTCTCCAGTTAGATCATACCCGGACTATCCGGTTAAGTTACAAGTTCGATTATGTCCACAAGGGGGTGACCAGAACTATGCAGGCTTTGGGAACTATGCCATCTGACAATCAGTTGAAGCAACCTGGAATGTTGAACCTGGAAAAAGAAATGATACCTGACTGCAAGCATTTGAAGAGCTGTCACCCAGAAGAGGGAATGAGTTTTTCTGTTTGACCCCAGGAAAGAACAGAAAGTTCCTAAAATCTTTCTGCTGCCATTTGTTCAGGAAAAAAAAAAAAAAGATATTTACATTAATTTTGTACTTATCCGGAAGTCATTAGGATACTATGACCCTAAGCCCCATTTAGGGGTTTCTTGGCTTAGCGCATTGTGTATGACTGGCCTAAGGAACATGGCTTTCGAAAATTACCCTTCATTTCTGATGTGAAAATTTACTAACTGCTTTGGAGGAGGATTTATACATGACTACAAAGAGCCCTCCCTGTGGCACAAGATTATGGAGTAAGACTTTTTCATCAGAAAAAACAGGTCAAGCTATTCCACAGGCTATAAGCTTTTTTAGTTCCCTTGTTTTAGGTCTAGTACCTTACTTGGTAACCCAAGTAAAAGACTAAGAAATGATCTCAGGAGGACCTAATGAAAAAACACATCTAGGACAGGTATTTTTTGAACCATTAACTCCCTCCTCCCTAAACTCTCACTCCTAGTGACCATTTGTTATATTTTATCTACATTTTTGCATTTTACCATTTGGTTGAGGGCTCTTACTTGGCCAGTCTATTTTTTTGTTATTTCTGGTCACTTTCATTCTTTCTTTTTTCACAATTGCCAGGACTCATAACACGTATGAAATGTAAATAAAGACATTTTCACCTTTCAAATGTGAAATCATTTCTATTCTTATCCAGTTTTGGGGGGGGGAAGTGGGGGAGGTGGCAGAAGTACAACTTTATTTTCCCAAACACTTGTACTAAATGAACTTAGTGTATAATAGGACTTTAGGAAGTAAATCGGTAATCATTATCTTATTACTTCTTTGGGGGGAGATATAGATGAGGGCAGGGGGACAATAGAGAGTTTGCCTCTATTAAGCATTTTAAATTCTCAAAATATTTTCTTCCTCTCACTTCTAAAAGTACAGTTAGCATGGAGGGAAAAGTCTCTGCCTGACTATTTCTAATTGTCCTTTAGTTCCTTCTAGAAGGAAATGGAAGCTTCATTAAGCCTCACCTGTGCCTCAGCAAAAGCTCATACTAAAGTAAGAAATGCCTTGTATTTCCCAAAGGAATTCAATCAATCTCCTCCCACCCCTTTCCATATCCCAGCTGTAATTTTCACCTAATGGTAACAGCACTTATTTCATACAATAAACTCTTCTCTGTTTGTGACTATATTCAAAAGATAATAAAATGTAGATACCTTCTCAGCTCAAGGCTATGGACTCAGTTTGGGCCCTCCTGCATTTAGGAGAACCCAGACATCACAATGCTTATTTGAGAGATGAGCTGAAAAGGAGGGATGGCCTAGTGGAACAATTATTGCCTTGGTGCATCAGACTTTACTTATTTGATGTTCCTCATTACCAGTCCAAGATGTTAAATATAACTTTCTTATCTTAGGTTTCTACCCTACTAAAATAATGTAGTAGAATCTTACCTGATTTGAGAGAGAGAGAGAGAGAGAGAGAGAGAGAGAGAGAGATCATTTTAGTGGAGAGAGGAGTAGGATGAATTCAAACCTTTTAAAAGAACAAACAAAACCTTGAAACAATTGTTTTTTCTCTCCTTTATAAATACCATCTTTTAGGCTGCTTTCAGAAGTTCTATTGATTATGAAAGGAGACAGACTAAAGCTGCTGTAAGTGTTGTATTATAATTGATTTCTATGCAACCTGGAGGATAGGACATTTGAATGGTCCACATTTTTCAGAGACAGAGAAGCATTTAAAAATGAAATCTCCTTCCCTCCTACCCCACTACATATGTCTACCTACACACACACACACACACACACACACACACACACACGGAAAATCTCTAGCCAATCTTGGCAGCTACATAAATGCCTTTGGCCAAGGCTATCTGATTCAATCTCCCAAGCTGGTTTGGTTCCCATGTCTGTTGGTGCCAATTCTCTGAAGGGCCAATTCTCTGTAGCTTTGACATCTTGTAATTCCTACTCTGGTCAGGTTGAGATTTTTTGTTTGTTTTTTACTGGAAAGAAAAGTATCTTTTTATGGAAAGTTGTATACCTTTCTCAGAAGTTATTTATTAAAAGAGAAGGAATGTTTTGTCTCACTGGAAGCTTTACGTGGAAAATGGGAGTAATGACGGATTTCATGAGGTGCATGTATTTTAAACAAATAATTGAAAGTAAAAAGGCTGTATAAGGCCATCAGATGTTGAAATTAGAAATTGGCCTATTTAGCAAAGATAGTACATGAAGCATGGTGAATAAAGTTTTTATACTATTTAGAGCACCTTCAACTCTGAGATCCATCATTTTTGTTTAAAAATTTGAAGGAATAAATGTCTCTCCAGATTCCTCTGGATTTCTAGGTCCAAACTTAGTCTTCAAAACCCCAAACCAGTAAGATTCTATTTGAATTGTGTGAGGAGACCTCTGCTTTATTCTTCTAGACTCACATGTCCCTAAATTAAAATGGTAACTTGTTCCTTAAATATACCAGTCCAATGTGCAATGTCAGTAAAATATCTTCTTAACTTTGTTTAAACCATGGTATAGTTACACCTGGTGTTTAACATGCAGACTGGCTGTCAATACTTCAGAAAGATATGATGGAACTACAGAACTCCAGAAAAACATAGCCAAAATGGCAAATGGAAAATAGCAGGCTTCATGAGGATAGACTCAAAATTAGGACAAGTGGGACATAGACATAGTCACAAAATCAAAGAATATCAGAATGGTAGGCATATATATGTATATGTGTGTGTATATATATATATGTATATGTATCTCCACATATGTATGGTTATATGTGTATACACACACACATATATATGTATGTATATACATATATATTAGAATACATCATAGAATATTAGACTTGGAAGGGACATCTTAGAGATTTTAGTCTAAGCCCTTCCCTATCACTACTTGTACTTTACAGATGAGGGAACTGAGGCCATAAGGGTGATTATGAGCCCAAAGCCAAACAATGACAGCTGTAGTTTTAGGCCAGGATATTGGAGTCTGGAGACTCTGCTCTGAATTTTATAAGCCATATGATCTTGGTCAAGTCACAACCTCTGAGCTTCACCTGTTTCTTCCTGTATAGTGGAGATGTTATCCCCTCAGGGTTGGTGTGGGCTAAAAAGTACTTCCTGAACCACAAAACACTATGAGAATGAGTTGTTGCATAACAACTGCTTTTTTTTTAAAAACTGCTTTACATAGCAAGATTAAATGTAAGGATTTCATTACCTTGAGAGGTCATAAGGCAGTCAAAGAAGTTTAGATAAATCCATAGATGATAATCCACTATAGATCTAAGGGAATGGTTAGTGTGCATCCTTAATTTGTAAAGACCAAAGTCTCATGATTAACATGATTATGGTATATTATGGTGATTATGGTATATAACACTTCACCTCTCTAGGCCTCAGTATCTTCATCTGTAAAATGAGTAGGCCAAATCAGGTGATCACTAAGGTTCCTGCCAGCTACAATTTTTTATGATTCTTTCATAAAATGTCCCTAGGTGTCAGTTGGTGTCCAAGACAATAGATGGATCATGGATCTGACCCTGTATGTTATTTCTTCTGTTCTTATGAACCAAGGGATTTTAAAACAATAATGCAGGTAGAAATTAATTGTCTTGCTCTTAAATCTTTGATCCACATTTCCTCATCCCTAACTGCTACTATTTGCCCAGGGGGGGAACATAGGAAATTCTGCAGTTTATTGTTCTCCGTAAGATTTTTTTAATACAAAAAAAAGATAAGGAGAAATCAGGGAGTCAAAGTGGAGTGGGGAGAATTAGTTGGAAAGTTAACACCTCATGAACTGCTAAGGGTAGCAGGGTAACACTGTGCCTATAGGGGACCTACCCTCCAAGAGGTTGAGTAAAATATTGGAATCATGAGCATTAGAAGCAGCCAGAACATCCTCTAATTTGACTGAATCAGGAAAGGCCATCATTAGGCCCTGAAAAGCCTTATCAGGCTAATATTGCCTAGCCCCAAATTTATTTATATATTCCTACATGTAGTTTTTAGGATGGGGAAGAAGAGAGGTAAATATACTGGGTACTTTTGTACAAAGAGAAAAACCAAGAGATATTCTACCCTTCCAACCTACTTTGCCTATCTTTTTATCCAGATAAAAGAATAGCATATCTTCTGCCCCTGTAGCATCAAAAAGGTTATAAGAAAATGAGATCTGTAGATATTAACATTCTATGACTGTTGCAAAAGTATTGTCTATTATTCAAGTCTTAGAAGCTTGAATCAGAGAACCTGGGTTCTAGGACTGTCTCAAGTCCCTAGGCCTCTATAAAATGAGAGGGCTCAACCAAATGGACTCTGAGTTCCATTCCAGCTCTATATCCATGAATCTATGAAAATCCTTCACCCAACCAATCTCTTAGAAATGTTTTTTTAAGCTACAAACATCTCACCAGTGGCCAGCCAAAGTCTATAAAATACCATTTCTTTTTTCATTTGTGATGTGTTTAAGCATGCTTTGAGTTAATTTTAGTTTACCTGGAACTATTCAAATCCAGTAAAGAATTCCAGTCTCTGCTTCTCTCCCTACTTACTTTATGCCTTTGATGTAATCTTGGGCACCCATTCTAGCCATACTGTGATCTCATGAAGCCTTAAGCACCACAGCCTCACCTCAGAGTGCTTTAGGGCCAGCTGTACATATACCATATAGTGTCTTAAGGGAAGGGCTCTGGAGATGATAACTAGAGACAAGCACCTTTGACAGCCATGTAGGCCTAGGAGTCCAAGAGTTCCAAAGTGAAACAGGTTTCTACGAGCACTGATACAACCACAGTTGAAGCCAAGTAGGTATGTAATCTTTATTTTCGATGGATGACAGATCCTGGAAGGTTGCTTTGGCACCTCCATGGGATAAACTAGAAATAGTATTTTGGGGAGGGGTGACTTAGCTGTCTACCTCTTGCATACATCACGATGTACTGGAAAGGCTTTGTGATCAGAAGATCTAAGCAGGGAATCCCAACTCTACTACTTAGTCCCCGGAGTGACTTCGAGCAAGTCACTTCATCCCTGACCCTTCAGTTCCCTCAACTGCAAAATAAGGGCATTGGGCTGGATAATGTCTAAGTCCCCCTCAAATTCTGAATCTTCCTGATCTTATCTTGTCTGTAATGAATTCTAACCTGTCAGGATGCTCTTACACTGTTCATCATTCATTCTCACTTAATGTAACTTCTTGCACTATTGTAATTGATTTTATGTAATAACCAGTTTAATTTTTTTACATGTGCATACGTAATAAAGTCTACACACTGGCCATCTTTGTAGAAATGAACTGTTAATAAAAAGTTTTTAAAATGTTTCATTGTTGGATTTTGATCTGGAGTATGCATGATTCAGGGTAATATTGCTTGCGTGTCAGAGCTAAGTCTCATCAATGTGTCATTGGCTAGCCATTGTCCATCAGTGATTCCTGGTGCATATTAGCATAGTAAGTACTTAGTAAATGCTTTTCCATTCATTCAGTGAATGGTAAAATTAAATTGTGCCATGTCGACAATTTTTTCAACCTAATGGTTTGCTTAGGTAACTATTTGCAGTTAGATGTAAAATTTAGGCAACACAATTAGTTATTTACTTAGTGCCTATTGTCTACCCAGCTCTGTGAGGTTACTGCAATAGTATTAAAA